TAAGTGTGAAATATATATACAAAAATTTCCACCGTAACACTGTGGAGTCCTTGGGTGGTGCAGACGGTTAAGCACTTGACTACTAGTTGAATGGCTGACAGTTCACTCAGCCAGAGACTCCTCGGAAGATAGATCTGGTGATCTGCCTCCGAAAGACGACAGCCTTGAAAGCCCTATGGTGTAGTTTTAGTCTGCACATACGAGGTCATCATGAGTCAGAACAGACTCAACAGCAACTAACAATACTGTCTGTGGATGAAAAGTGCATTATAGATAGTATGACCCCATTCCTGTATATGGTACAGTAAAACCTGCAAAAGCTGGAACCTGTGTAAGGCAGAAACCTGTCAGAGGAGGAAATTTCAAATATTTTCCACTAAAGCGAGTGAAAGAAAAGTGGTAAATTGCACCCTCTCAAAGGCGGAAAACTTTCTAGACCTGGCAAAATAAGGCAGTCCTGTCGAGTTCCAGCTCTCATAGGATTCACTGTATATGTAGATCTCTGTACAGAAAAAAAAATCACAACTTTAAAATATAAACACAACTCTAGTCTTCTGGGAAGTGGGATTACAGGGAACCTTCACCTTTTTAATTATAAAATTAATACAAAGTAACGCACGTCCATTATTTTCTAAATGCAAACAATTTAAAGTTAAATATGGAAGTTACTCCTCACTTCATCTTTCCAATCTCACTTACGAAGGCAACCACACACATAAACACACACACCACACACAAACACAATGTATAAAGTACACATATTTTTCTTTACAAAAACGAGATTATGCTATATACACTGTTCTGTAATTTGCTCTGTCACTTAACATGCTATCACACAATCAAGTAACAACGATAGTATAGCTTAGCAATGAATAGCTCCTGATCTGTTGTCACACTGCTAAAATATATACTGTGGGTTCTGGTAAATAACTTGGCTAAGCTCTAATTTTTTTTTTTCATTTGTGAAATGGGGATAATAATATGCCTGTCTCTCAGGGTTTTGAGAGAATAAACTGATAGAAGTCGTGCAAAGCCCTCAGCTCAGTGTGTGGCATATATTGAGTGCTCAATAAATGTTGGCTAACATGAGCCATCTTATTTCTTTAAAGACTACATGATACTGAGCTTTAAAAATGTACTGTTGTTAGGTGCCATCGATTTGGTTCCAGCTCATAGCGACTCTATGTACAACAGAATGAAACACTGCCTGGTCCTGTGCCAACCTCACAATCTTTGCTCTGTTCAAGCCCAATGTTGCAGCCACTGTGTTAATCCATCTCATTGAGGGTCTTCCTCTTTTTCACTGACCCTCTACCTTACCAAGCATTAAGTCCTTCTCCAGAGACTGAAAATTGCACTATAAATTGTTTAATAATTCATCTCTTTGTGGATATTTAGGTTGTTTCTCCATGGTTTGTTTTTGTTTGTTTGATTAGTTGGTTTGGTTTGGTATTGTAAACAATGCTACAGTAAAATATCTGTACATATATCTTTGCGTTACACGTATATGGCTATTTCTATAGAATAGTTTTCTAAAAGTAGAATTATTGAATAAAGATATGCAGAATTTTAATTCTGATAGAGATTACCAACAAGCCTATAGTGATATACCCTCTTACTACTAGTGTAAGGGTTTGTTTCTCTTTGTACATTATCAAGAAAAAAAAATTACTGCCAATCTGATAGGTGAAAATTGTATTCAGTGTCCAGTGTCTAATTAGTTTTTTGTTTGTTTTGATTACCAGTAAGGTTGAACATTTTGCCATCTGTTTTCTTTGGTAAATGTATTGACATATTTTATTTGAATCTGTAGTTTGTATTTTAGCTTTGATCATGGTTCCTTTTGGTGTGATTTTCAAATTTTTTGAAAGAATATTTTGTCATTCTTTCTTCTACATTTCATTTCTTGTTGAAATGGCATTCTCATGCTGAAACCAAAAACATATGCTCCTTTACTTTTGGCTAGTCCCTATTTTATACTTTTTTTTTGTTTTGTATTTTTACTTTTAGATTATTTATCCATATGGATTTTATTTCTATATATGAAGTTAGATACTTAGCTTTATTTTCACCAAATGTTCAGCTAATTGCCATAAATATTGAAAAATTCGCCCTTTCCCCCTCCTATGAAATGAATTTTTATATTTAAATTCCTACATAGATAAAGCAAGAATCTATACACATGTATAAATACAGAAATATAGGATTCTCTATATTGGTTCATTGATTTGTTTTTCTCTCTGTGTGACAGTATGATATTGTTTTTCGTTATTATACGCTTTGATTGGAGGTTGAAAAAGTTTCCTTTCATTATTCTAATTTTTTGAAAATTATCTTGTCTATTCTTAGATGTTAACTCCTCTAGATGGATTTTAGAATGAACTTCTAAAGTTCCATTGAAAATTTCATTGGAGATTTTTCTTGAGTTGCATTGAATTTTATTAGTTTGAGAAGGATTGTCTTTAAACACTGAGTCTTCCTTTTTAGGAGTATAGGATCTTCATTTATTCATCTCTTCCTTTGTGCTCTGTCATAGATTCATCAGATGAATTTATTCCTATGTATTTTTTGATTTCTTTGCCATTGTGAACTCAATCTTTTTTTCCTATTACATTTTCCCAATACAGGAAAGTATTTATATTTATGTATTTATCTTATATCTAGCCACCTTGATAAAATCTGCTTAGATTTTTATGGCTTTTCAGAAAATTCTCTTAGATTTTCTAAGTAGAAAAGCATGTGACCTAAAGTAATGATAATTTTGTCTCTTTTAATGTTCAAGCCTCCTATATTTTTAGTTTTGCCTTATTTCACTGGCTAAGATCTCCGTCTGAACAATGTAGCTTAATACTGGTAACGGGTCATCCTTGTCTTTTTCATGATACTGGGGAAATGGAACTCTTACATCTAAGTTATATATCTTTGTAATATTTGAATGTTCAGAATGAGAAACATCATTGTTTAATTGAAAAAAATAATACATTTAAAGAATAAAACTCAGCAATACAGGCTATCCCTGGTGGTATTCCTATTGTGTGTCATCCTTGGATCAGGACCTTATAATTAAAGTAGCCAGATCTTGTTAGCCAAAAGTCACCATTGTTTGTAAAACAAAAATGCTTAAATAAACAAGAAGGAGTCTTTCCTCTGAAGACTCTGGAAGTCTTGGCTCAATTTTATGCATGCTAGAAGTACATTCTAGCTACAGAACCTTGTTTACCATCTGGAAATTTTCGACATGAATTTTCAAATGGTCCACTGTGATGTTGACAATCACTTGGCCCTCTTTTGATCCAGTAATTTACATCATTAGAAAAAAAATTATTCCACATAGCAGGATCTGTATTTCTGTTCTTTATGGGGTCTGCTGAAGTGACAATTTCAGATTATAAAATAGTTTCACTTTCTACACCGTTATTAATTTTTTTATTACAGCAAGAATTGGATGCAGAATTTGGAACAAATTCTGTTATATTTGTATTATTATTAGTAATTTCGGCACTAGCAGTACTAGTACAATGATTTGCACCCATTAAGCTGCAGCCTTCAACATAAAAAGTCTCTTCTATTCATTACATTTTCAAAAAGAAGTTAATTTTGGAATTGTCTTTAGGGATTCACAAATCCTTTTCTTGTTATCTTCTGTGAGCTTTCGTTTTTGTGCTTCCTTAGTTGTTCCCATGTCATTTTACTTGGATATAAAATTATATCACTTTTTAAATTTGGTTCTACTGTAGCAAATAAATTTGAATAATTAAAAATACATAAAATTTATTAAACAAAATTTACATTTGAATTTGGAATGTTAACTTTAAAAATTATTACACAGAGCAGGATCTGTACTTCCCTTAATTAGTAATTAAAATAAGTAGATAAGAAAAATTGATTTGGAACTTGTAATTTTGTTCTTCAGGTCTGAGATACTCAAAAGAAGTAGTACTTACAAGGCAGTTGGAAATAATTTCATTCATTTGTCATACAATGTTTGTTGGTGGGCCCTTCATAGATCTCCATGACTGTTTTTTGTCCTGAAATAATACCTAGAAACTTGTGCACTCACTTTCCCTCCTTTGATGCTGTGTGTTCACAGTTTATTGGAATACTGCTGATATCCGACAGGGGCGAGAGCAATCTCAAAGGGCATGATACAAATATAAGGGTATGTTCAATCTGAAAACGCTTTGCACAGCACCAAATACATCACGAGTCACATGATTATAGTCCCGCTGGTGCGTTCTTATGTGGTCATCTAGAGAGAACTGCATGTGAGGTTATACCTGATCAGTCCAAAATGGAAAGGAAAATATAACTGTTATCATATACAAAATGGTATCAGTTTCCTTTAGTGCCCTGCCAGATCCCTTTCACTGCAGCACTCGCTCTTCCTTGTGTCCTGTTTGCTTCGCATCTATAGGTCTTTGCTTTGTACAACTGGTGCCCCTGCTTTGTTGATGCCCTAAGCACATGCTTACCTTGTTTACTGTGTAATCTGTCCCAGGTATCAAGAAATATTTATTAGTTCTGAAACACATTTTGTCCCAGCCCTGATCTAAACCACCAGCACCCACACACACACAACTATGAGCAGAAGAGGATTCATAGGGTCATGCGGAATGAAAACATCCTGATTCAAAGTAGGACTCAGCAGCCTGTTCCCAAGGGACAAAAAAAGAGGTTAAGGAGTTGGTCAAGACATAACCTAAAAACAATCTTTACAAACAGAATTGAGAAGAACTCAGAAAATTAGGGCATACAGAAGTTCCTATGAATACATGGGAAATATTTGGTTTCTAATTTAGGAAGTACTTTGTAATTTTTTGTAACTCTCCCTTTGTTGAATTAGATTCCCTGTTTCTTTTGCTGTAGTTTCTTGAAGTAAGCATTCTTAAAATTCCTAACAAAGAGAAGAGTGCTTTTTTTATAGGTTGGAAGCTAGGAAAAAAGCTATATTTATCATGTTACCTTTTGCATCATTCCCACTGCTCCTCTAAATACCATCCAGGAAGTCCACAGACATGGAAATAAAGAACTACAGTAGCAGCGCTTCAGGTTTCATCCTTCTGGGACTCTCCTCCAATCCTCAGCTGGAGAAGCCTCTCTTTGCCATCTTCCTCACCATGTACCTGGTCACGGTCGTGGGAAATGTGCTCATCATCCTAGCCATACATTCTGACTCTAGGCTCCATACCCCTATGTACTTTTTCCTCAGCAACTTGTCCTTCATAGATATCTGCTTTGTAACCGTCATTATGCCCAAGACACTGGTGAACTTACTATCAGAGACAAAGACTATCTCCTACGTGGGCTGCCTCGTCCAGATGTACTTCTTCATGGCTTTCGGGAATACTGACAGCTACCTCCTGGCCTCCATGGCCATAGACCGACTGGTGGCCATCTGTGACCCCTTCCATTATGATGTGGTCATGAACCTACGGCGTTGCCTTCTCATGTTACTGGGTTCTTGCACTATATCTCACCTGCACTCCTTGCTCCGTGTGCTGCTCATGTCTCGCCTGTCTTTCTGTGCCTCTCACGTCATTAAGCACTTTTTTTGTGATACCCAGCCTGTGCTAAAGCTGTCCTGCTCTGACACCTCCTTCAGCCAGATTGTCGTCATGACCGAGACCCTGGCTGTCATTGTGACCCCTTTCCTGTGCATACTCTTCTCCTACATGCGCATTATCATCACTGTGCTCAGAATCCCCTCTGCAGCTGGGAAGTGGAAGGCTTTCTCTACCTGTAGCTCCCACCTCACTGTAGTAGCCCTGTTCTATGGGAGTGTCATCTATGTTTATTTTAGGCCCCTGTCCATGTACTCAGTAGTGAAGGACAGAGTAGCTACAGTTATGTTCACGGTGGTGACACCCATGTTGAATCCTTTCATTTACAGCCTGAGGAACAAGGATATGAAGAGAGGTTTGGGGAAACTAAGGGACAAAATTCACTCATAGAAGAACAAAATGATGGAATGTCAAATTTGGGAGATGACCTAAGAGACTGTCTGGTTATCCTTCCCTCTTAGCTATTTTCCACATAGCATCCAAAGATGTCATGAGAAGTGGGTTGGATAGCAGTAAGAGCATTGGCCTGGGAGTCAGAACATTTGGTTTTTGTCTATGACCTTGCCAAATATATGTTCAGTAACAGACTTGGTACTGCTAGAAATCCTGATTTCAGGAAAACAATTGATTGACACCATAAAGTAGAATAAGGCTATCCTTCAAATGACTCTTCTACAAAACCATGGCCAGTGCTAAAGAAGAATAAATTGCTTGAGTTTTAGAGAACTGAGAAAAGCTTCTTGGAGCAAGATACCTAAGATCATCATCCTGGAGGATGGACTAAATTTTGAGAGATGAAGGTACAAGGAATGAAGAAATGAGCAGAACATTTCAAATAGTGGTAATTACCTAAGCAAGTAGAGGCAATAAATGTTGGAATATATCTGGGGAACTGTGAAAAGCCCTGTGAGGCTAGAGTCTTCTGAACATTTTGATAACAGGGAGAAGAAGGCTGGCAAGTAAAGCATCTACAAAGCAGACTTGCTACTTCCCCACCACAATGTGATGACAGTGTGCATTCTCAATACCTGTATCCTTTTCTCCTGCCCCTTAATTCTTCCTTTCTGCAGATGGCTAGTGCACTCACTGACCTGCCCTTTATATCCTGGAAAGAGCAATGTATCAGTCAAGATGAGCTAGACGATGCTGTGGAAACAAACAAATTCAAAATCTTAGGATGTTAAAACCAAAGTTTTACTTCTCATTGTATGTTCATCACAGAAAAGTGTAAGGGTGCTGCTCATTTTAGACATTCAGTGTCCCAAGCTGATAGAGCAGCAATCATTCTAAACAGTACTCATAACTTTGTCAGAATCTGAGGAAGACTCTTGAAGATTTTACACTGACAATATTTTGATTCAGAGTACTCCACACCACCTCTGCCAACGACTTATTGCTCACAACTAATCTCATGACCTTACCCAACCACAAGGGAGCCAGAAAGCACAATCCAAACATGTGTGTTGTTGAAACATCTCAGTTGGTATGCTGTCAATTCCTGGAGCCTTGTTTTTTGCCATTGCTTTCAGTGCAGCTTAGACTCCTTTTTCAGTACCATGGGTTCTTGATCATATACTACTTCCTGAAATGGTTGAATGTTGACCAATTCTTTTTGGTCAGAAACTCTGTGTATTCCTTCTATCTTCTTTTGATTCCTCCTGCATCATTTAATAGTTTCCCCATAGAATCCTTAAATATTGCAACTTGAGGCATGATTTTTTTTTTTTTTTTTCCAGTTCTTTCAGCTTGAGATATGCTGACTGTGTTCTTCCCTTTTGGTTTTCTAACTCCCGGTCTTTGCACATGTCGTTATAATACTTTACTTTGTCTTCTCGAGCTGCCCTTTGAAATCTTCTGTTCAGCTCTTTTACTTTATCATTTCTTCCTTTCCCTTTAGCTACTCAATGTTCAAGGGCAAGTCTCAGAGTCTCTTCTGATATCCATTTTGGCCTTTAGTTCTTTTCTGTCCTATTAACGACCTTTTGCTTTCTTCACGTATGATATCCTTGATGTCATTCCACAACTCGTCTGGTCTTTAGTCATTAGTGTTCAATGTGGCAAATCTATTCTTGAGATGGTCTCTAAATTCAGGTGGGGCATACTCAAGGTCGTACTTTGGATTTCATGGACTTTTTCTAATTTTCTTCAGCTTTGACTTGAATTTGCATATGAGCAACTGACGGTCTGTTCCACAGTCGGCCCCTGGCCTTGTTCTGACTGATAATATTCAGCTTTTCCATCATCTCTTTCCACAGATGTAGTCGATTTGATACGTGTGTGTCATGGATTGAATTACATCCCCTCAAAAATGTGTGTATCAGTTTGGGTGGGCCATGATTCCTGGTATTGTGTGATTTTCCTATATGTTGTAAATCCTGCCAATGATGTTAATGAGGGAGGATGGGTGGCAGTTGTGTTAGTAAGGCAGGACTCAACCTACAAGACTGGATTGTGTCCTGAGGCAATCTCTTGAGATATTAAAGAAAGAAGTGAGCAGAGAGACACGGGGCCTCATACCACCAAGAGGGCAGTGCCAGGAGCAGAGCATGTCCTTGGGACCCAGGGGCCCTGCACAGAGAAGCTCCTAGTCCGGGGGAACATTGATGAGAAGGCGGACACAGAGAGAAAACCTTCCCCTGGAGTTGACACCCCAAATTCGGACTGTTAGCCTACTTTACAGTAAGGAAATAAACTTCTCTTTGTTAAAACCATCCACTTGTGATATTTCTGTTATAGTAGCACTATATAACTAAGACAGTGTGTATTACCATCTGGTAAGGTCCATGTGTATAGTCGCCATTTATGTTGCTGAAAAAAGGTACTTGCAATAAAGAAGTTGTCGGTCCTGCAAAATTCTATCATGGAATCTCCAGCATCATTTCTATCATCAAGGCCGTATTTTCCAGCTACCAATCCTTGTTTCCAACTTTCACATTCCAATCACCAGTAATTATCAATGCATCTTGATTGCATGTTTCATCAATTTCAGACTGCAGAAGCTGGTAAAAATCTTCAATTTCTTCATCTTTGGCCTTAGTGGTTGGTGCGTAAATTTGAATAACAGTCATATTAACTGGTCTTTCTTGTAGGCGTATGGATATTATCCTATCACTGACCACACTGTACTTCAGGATAGATCTTGAAATATTCTTTTAACTATAAATGCAATGCCATTCCTCTTCAATTTCTATTCCCAGCATAGTAGACCACATGATTGTCTAATTCAAAATGGCCAATACCAGTCCACTTCAGCACCCTAATGCCTAGAATATCGATGTTTACATGTTCCTTTTTTTTTCTTTTACGATTTCTAATTTTCCTAGATTCATACTCCATACTTTCCATGTACCTATTATTAATGGATGTTTGCAGCTGTTTCTTCTCATTTTGAGTCATGCCACATCAGCAAATGAAGGTCCCAATAGCTTGACTCTACCCATGTCATTAACTTTGACGCTACTTTGTGGAGGCTGCTCTTCCCCACTTATATTTTGAGTGCCTTCCAACCTGAGGGGCTCACCTTCAGCACTGTATCAGACAATGTTTCCCTGCTATTCACAATGTTTTCACTGGCTAATTTTTTCAGAAGTAGACCTCCAGGTCCTTCTTCCTAGTCTGTCTCAAACTGGAAGCTTCACTGAAACCTGTCCACCATGGGTGATCCTGCTGGCATTTGAAATACCGGTGGCACAGCTTCCAGCCTCACAGCAACACACAAGCTACCACAGTACGACAAACAGACACTTGTGGGGCTTAAATATTAGATGATGTTAATGAATTATTGTCAAATTCTTTAAAGATGATAAAGATATGGTGGAATATTTTAAATCTTTGTTTCTTAGAGATGCATCCACAGGTATGTGGATAAAATTGTGTAACGTCTGGGTTTTGCTTTAAAATACTTACCAGCAAATAAACAAATGCCTGGGGTTGGGGGGCATATACATTAAACAAGATTGGCAAAATTTTAACACATACTATGCTGGGTGACATGTTAGGGTTCAATTATACTCTTTTCTCTACTTTGTGTATATTTGAAGTAATAAATCACAGATTCTATTAGCAGCATATCTAAGACCAGACCACAAGTCTCATGGCTCCTAGTCTAGTGTTCTTCTCCCTGTTATCATCCCCAGATTTTGGGAAGAAATTGGTTGCAAACTCATCCATACTCATAAGGTCCTGGAAGACCCTGATGTTTCTCAAATCCTCTAACTGAAACTCTAACACTAGAGAATTCACTGAAGTCTTCAGTCTCCATTAAGGCATGAGACTCAGGAAGAGGTGTCACTGGCCAAATTATAAATCATTACACCTGGTGGGAATGGGTAACCAAGTTTTATACAAGGAGATAGTATAAAAGCAAGGAACCCTAGTGTTGCAACAGTTAAGCACTCAGCTAATAACTGAAAGGTAGGTGGTTTGAACCCACCCAGTAGCTCTGTGGGATAAAGATCTTATAACCTGACCCTACGAATGCCAGTAAATTTCCATTAGTCCTTAAACTAGCCTAAGTCAGATTTGGTCCTCCCCGCATGCATAGAAGGGTCAGCTGTGACTGCTAATTGACCTTAACAGCAGACGCAGCAACAAGTGGAATGAATCAAAAGGAAAATCGTCACTGGGACTCTATCCCAAAGCGAGAGGTCCCACAAGAACCACGTCACCTCCAGCTTCCTAGCTGCATTCTAGAATTTTCCCTCCCCAGTCTGCCTGCTCGACCACCATCTTGCTGCCCAAATCACATGTGAGCCCTGCTTCCCCATAGTTCAGGGAGCCAGATCTGAGGAACTTCCTCCCAGCTCCTTGCTCTGCATATTCCAATAAAATTACTTTCTCTTTCTCAAAGACCAGTGTCCAGATAATTGGCAAGTCTGAGCACAACGGACAAGGATCCACCTTCCCGGGTTCAGTAACAACCTGGTGATCTGCTCTTGTAAAAGATTACAGTCTAGAAAATCTGATGGCACCTACTTGATGGCACCTAATAAAATAGTATAAGAGCATGTAGGAGTGCCAAAGAGCTAAAGAGAAGCAGGGAGAAATATGGGAGACTGGAGGAAATAATTTCAGGAGGGAGACCGAGAAACCACCCTGTATTCCTCAAAACTAACAAAGGAACAATCTGAAATCCCATCTGGGTATCAATGACTCAGCATTCTTACATAACCCGTCGCTGTAGAGTTGATTCCGACTCATAGCCACCCTATAGGACACAGTAGAACTGCCCTATAGAGTTTCCAAGGAGTGCCTGCTGGATTCCAACAGCCCAACTTTTGGTTAGCAGCTATTGCTCTTAATCACTATGCCTCCAGGGTTTCCGATTCTTACACAACCAGTAGGCACTTAATTTGTGGTCCCTCAGAGCAACAGCTTTTCTCAAGAGTAAT